TCATTACTATATAATTATCCTCAACGCCATGCTAAACCCAAGAAGAGAATTATCCGCCCTGCGATGTTTGAACGCCGCTGAATATCTGAACTCCGTAGAATGTTTGAGGTCGATTAAGTGTCCAGAGTGGACTGCATATCTGATTTGGGCCCCTCCACTCCCCTCTTCCCCGCTTCTCTTAACATCTCCATGGTAGATGCGAAATCATTTCCCACCTTTTTTGACCCAACGGACGAAAATGAATATTTAGGTGGAGCTGTAGATGGAGTAGATGTCGACTTAGAGTCTTTGAATTTCGGTTGTGGAGTCGAATATTCAAAGTCGCCGGATTTCTTATCTTTAAATGTCTTATTTGGCGTCGAACATTTGACTTTTTTCTCGGCTTTACGCTTTGCTTTCGCGGCGGCAATTTGTTGTTCGAGGCGTGCTATTTTATCATCGTCTGATTCTTTGGGTATGCTCTCCTTCTGCGGAGGCGTACTTTCCCTTTTTACAGGCATGCTTTGCCTCTTCGCTCTCCTCTTCCTGCCCTCCTCAGCCAACCTTTTGATTTCCGCATCCATCTCCTCATCCTCTCTACTCCTCTTTCCCAGGCTTCCCCCTCGTTCCCTCGCCTCCAAGTCCTCTTTCATACTCCTTCTCTTCCCTTCAAATAACGCAGCAGCCTTTTGTTTCTGCACGCGTGCATTGCGATAGTTGTCATACTTTTGTTTTAATTCTGGTTCTGCAAGTACATCATGCGCGGCTTGGAATTGCTCGTATTTATCTGGGTCGAAGGCATCTCCTAGTTTGTCCGGATGGTAGAGTAAGGCTGTTTTACGATATGCGCGACGAAGTTCTGACACGCTGAAAGATTCGGGAGTGATGCCTAGGAGCGTGTAAAAGTCGACTTCGGAGGTTATCCATTTTGTTAAGTCGTCGGAGGGCATCGCGATTATAGTTGTTGAAGAGGCAAATCAGGATTGGATCTGCTATGGCGTTGCAATGTACTTTTCTGAAATTGGGAAGGGAAACTCGGAAGAGTATTGGTGGAGTTTGTAATTGTAGAAATTGTGGTTGTAATTTTTGTAGATTTGATGACGGACTTTTTGGAGATTTGGTAAGGCTAGAGCGAGGCTATGAGTACAATTTACCCGATACTTAGCCGGTTGGTTTGACAGTCTCTTTTGGGAAGAGTCACTCACCGGTTGAACAAGCATACATATACTAATACACTAGATTACATATCTTTTGACAAGGAGATTCAGACCACTGACTTCACCTCATTTTATTATACGCCTTTTTACTTTCATGGCTTCATAAAACTAGTGCACGTGACGCTCTCGAGAAATTGCCTTCGTCTATAAGCACCTTTTCTCAAAGGGGCTAACCACCATGGCTACGTTGAACGGTAAGAATATCGCCGAAAGTATGGACGCCTTGAGGTTATTAGATCCTGAGCCCAACTCGGAGAGATCAGTGAAAGATCTACTTCAGAAATCTCAAAATCTGATGACGGAACTTGAACAATTCAAGGCTCTTCTGAAAGAGCGAAGGCAAGACAAGACAGTTGAACTTAGACACTTCTCGACAAATCTTCAATCTGAGATCAAATCTTTAACAAGACTTGCAAACTTAGACCCGGATGATGAGAAGGTGGCCCACACAGTTAGCTCTTCGAATTTTCCATTTTATTCCGCTGTTTGGAACATAGCAAAGGGTTGCAAGGGCATCACAGCTTTGAGAAAACGTTTCTTTTGGACTACTGGTCAAACTTTGCTCAAATCTAAACGGGGCGACCTCTCAGCGCAGAGCAACATTAAAAGTGTGGAAGTAGATGTTGTGGCTGGAGAGGATCTCGAATGGGTCAAAGTCAATACAATTACTGCTCGAAGGATGATATTTGATTTAGCCAAGGCAGGATGGGCCGAAGACGATTCAACTGATGATGAAGATGAGAATTTTGCTCGGTTAGATGCAGACGATGAGTCAGAAGGTCTTTTAAAACAAGCCAAGTTACTCGTAGAAGCTTCTAAACTGGCCAGGACCAAATATCGGTACCCATCAGTACGTATGGTACTTCCTAGAATCACCCGAGATTGCCCCAAGCAGGTGGCTAGTGTTTTACAAGAAATTCGAGCATTGGGAGTTACAGTGCAGATATTTGAAGATATTCCTAAAAGCCTTGAGATATCGACAGTTCTCCAGCGTATGGTAGTAGACCCATTTGAGAAATTCTCCGAAATTCTCAACGTTGATTGTACGATGATCTTCGCATTTATCAGTGAGTAAGTAAAAGATATTGTGTCCCGTGATGGGTGCACCCATTTCCCCGAACAACGGTCAGCCTTTCCCTATTTGCTAATTACGCGAAATTCAGTCTTTCACATGGCCAGGTTGATCCAAAAGACTGGCATCATCGGTTTTTGATTAACCAAATGGAAATGGAAAGCGAAGATAAGCTCTTACCTAGTATTGTTTGGCCTGCATGCGGTGCCAGAAAGCTCGTATGTACTCGTGAGGCAGTCGCAAGAGCCCAAGAGATCATAGATACAATTGGAACAGATACCGAAAAGAAAAGAATGGAACTGATCTTCGGATTCAATCATGGGTCGACGAGAGACCAGCTAGCGGAGGAATTTCAAAAGCTCTCTGAGTACAGCATTCCTCAGGAATGGCAATTACCAATTTCCATAGTTGATGCGGATGTATCCATTGTCAAGTCCGAGCTTCCTAATCTCGTTCATGACGTCTCAAAAGTTTTGACTGGTGTTAATCAGTCCGTGTTTCTATACGGATGGGCATCTGGATTGACAACAATTAGTAGCAATCGTGTTGTTGCTAAAGGAATCGAGGCCACGATTGAAGCAAACAGAGGTTCTTTGGACGTTCAGGGGCCGGACATCTGGTTGTCTCCAATGGCACGATCCCTTGTAGGAAAAGAAAAACAGCGACGAGGAGTTAAAGAATAATTCAATGATAGATCCGAGTATGTAGCTCGTAATTATGCGTTGAGTCTTGGTTACTAAGTTTACCTCTTTGAGTTTAGCGCTAGAAGCGAATAAGTGTAGAACGTTCGGCTTCTCTTGTACAGTTTATATTACACATAAATCATTTTTCTACAGCCTCAGCTTTGACTCTGGTGAACATCAGAATATCAGTGGTCAGCAGGCTGTCATCCGCGGCAAATTTCACCCAATATTATGAATTGGATCTCGGAATAGCTCTAGTGGGCTCATTGCCTTTCATTGCTGAGGATTTATTTATCGCTAATTATGACTTCTCGCGATTGAATCTAATTGTTGCGCTTTTCTTCCTCGGTCGTCATAGAGAATAACGCAATCCAGTCTTTCAATATTTCTTTAGCTATATCTCTGGTGCGGCAGTCAATATGGTAAGCTCAGTCGGAATCATTCGTTCAGAAGATTCCCCGTTTCGAATTTTCAATGGCTTCCGGGGAGCTACGTAAAGAACGTCATCATTACATACCACGATGATGGTCACAATCACTTCCAAGGATTCAATTAACCATCTTAGTAGCTTTACTCTAAAATTCATTCATCTTCTATCTGCGCTAATAGTCTCGCGTGCACTAGCTAGAAATTACGTTTACTATGTATTATTATGCTTTCAAGATGTATCTTACAAAAATTGAATCGAGTCACTAGACCCTTATGAACGGAAAATATTACTCGCTTAAAAATCAACAGACAGGTCTGGTTTGGTATGTTTCATGGGATTTGAATCTTGAAATATCTTTTGTTCAGGCTGGTGCGCCAAATAGTAGCTGCCCTGTTCTTGGTTTGTTTCCCCTCCATATTTTGTTATGATGCACAGCGAAAAATCAGCAAGCTTTCTTTTTCAACATCACTTGCGGGTATCCAGATGGAGACTAGCAGGATATATGTGATTTGTGAAGGCTAAATTAATAGTAAAATTATTGCGTATTAGAACTTTGATTAGTGTCATTCCACAGCCAGTGAAAACTTCTGTTCAGAGAAAGTAACATCGAAATCTCCGCTCAGAAGTTCAATATGGTCTCGGACGCTTCGCCCTACAAACGCACTAAGAAATGTGTCGCCTCCGTGAATCATATGGATACCCATGGACCTGGTCCAGACAATATGAACACCGCAATTGCAGGTCACAGTAGCTTTCTCTATTCATAATCTTTGGTTGTGCAACCGAATCCTTGGCACTCCTTAGTAGCTTTCGCTGGTCACTTTGTCAAGAATCTGAGGATCTTGTCACTTTTGTCCAACTTGTGTCCTTGACTTCGATTTTTTATTAGATACTTTGAAATTGCTACAAAGTTTAGGTTCTTATTTTGCTTGCACGTTTAGATCGTTTTGGCACTTTCGCTCAAATCATAACTAACAGGTCGCTTTCATGTTGTTGCATATCTCAAGATTCCAACAATATCGGCAACTGCACTAGACATGCAACACGGAGCTTTAATATACTTGTAAGTACGAATAGTATATTATGTGAAAGTGTTTGGCCAATTATGCTTGGTGCTTTCCACGATTAAATGCTAATCAGTCCTTTGTCGAAAATAGCGACATGACACAATGATAAAATTTCGGTAGCCTGATGACTTTAGCCATTAAATCTTCTCTTATCAAGCAAGCTTTACTTTACCTCCACAATAACATGAAGATTTCAATTCATAGCATTTTTACTTCATTCATACTAATTCAGGGTATCAGTAGTTTGTTTTGTCACATTCACCTGGTCACATTCATTTGCATCTATGATATCTTCAGAAGTTTGTTGGTGTAAATTCCTACAAGTTTCCTTAAATGGTATGTCATCCACTCAGAATAGTGAGTAGTAATAAGTTTCAACGAAAAGTACATCCCCGGCAGTCATTTCCTAATGAGCCACCTTTATTTCGAACCAATACATAACAATATTCCTAACAGTCCCAGTGACTATCACCACACACTTTTATGCGGCCAGCCGTTTTTCTCCAACCCTCAACTTCCATCCCGCAAGGGACTCCCTGTGGTAATGACCCACTATCTCTTGCCAGCAGTTCTTCTCTTTCCTGCCCTGCCGGCCTCATCCTCATCGACTCCCTGAGCCTCCGCCCGAGCACGACCACGACCACGCTTCTTCAGAGGTGGGTCAATTTCTATCTTGCTGGCATTCTCGTCGGTGGCAGCAGCCTTCTTGGCTTCCGAATTCTTGGCTACAGCAACCGAGAACAGTTCCTTTAAGCCGATCGCGTATCCCCACTCATGCTGAGTGTAATGTGTGTATGTTAACTTGAGGGGCTTTGGTGGCACCGAGCTTGCCACCAATGCATACACATCAGGAATTCTCTGAACCAGAGAAACCAGAGCCGCAGACCAAACATCACCGTCATTTGCATGCATGTATTGCTGTGCGACCTTGAGGCACCTTTGCAATATTGGCCAAAGGGCGTAGGTTCTGGCTTCGTCATCGTTCCAGTTGAATGTAGAGACTTGCTGGACAGGAAGAAGAACAAGAGGAAAGGCCAATGTTTGGAGACCCGGTGATGCTGCCTTTAAAACTTGTCGCTTTTCGAAGAACAAGTTTCTAGTTTTGCCATTTTCAGCCAACATGTGTAAGAACTCCAACATCTGAACCAGGAGTGGAGTCAGTTCCATGTTCTGTGTTGTCATATCTCTCATGAAATCCGCAACTATATCCAGGAGCATACTCTTTCGGAGAAGTTGGTCGAATCCGAAAGTGTGTGCTCCGTTCCTAGCAACCGTTGTGTTGAGGGTCGTTAGGCAGTGCAAGAGGGCAGGGAGAACTTCTCTGTATTCATGAGTCACTGAGAGATTTGGCGACTCATGACGGAAGTTAAGAACAGCATCATCGACAGCGCACAAGGCCTCCCAAGCCGCCCGAGTATCTGAAAAGGTGCACTCCTTCAAGTGGGGAGCTACACCACAACCCAAACAAGTCCCAAAAGAGCACTTTCCACACGCGGCAATGTGCAAATGGCTTTTTTTGTTGGCCGAATTGGGTGCAACAAGTTCTGGCTGGCTCGGATTGGGCAACCAAACTTGCGATACCTTGCATGTGTTTGAGATTCTGCACTTGATGCATCTCACTCTCATACCTTGCTGCATTGCAAGTTGGATATCCGGCAGGGGAGGGCCTTGTTGGGAGGTGCTCTCATCGTTGATGTCGGGAGTTTGCTCCTCCCAGGCTTCTTCGAAGTCGTCGTCAAATTCATTAGCATCGTGAGAGCTAATCAATTCCAAATCCCCCAAATTGCTCACAACCGACTGTGCATGTTGCTCTGGATCCAACTGCAAATTTCTAAGCCTGGTAGAAAGGGGATCGGCTAATCTTAGAGGCGACTGTGCAGGTGCAGCGACTTGGTCTGGAGCGCTGGTCTGGTTGGTAGTGAGTGCTGTCATGTTGAATGTGAATTGGCTGGCAGCAAAATCGACAGGGAATGAACCAGACATTTTGAATGATGATTCCGAGATGTTTATTGGATGGTTCGCCGATGTTTCGGTTGATGGAATTTGAGTTGTTTTGGTTGGTAGAATTTGAATTATTTTGATGGAATTCAAAGTCGATACCGTTGGAAAGGTGGAGGATCTCGAGGTACTTATGAGATTTGGACTTCTCGAGAGTGTTTGAGAACGAATAAAAAAAAGCAAAATTATGAGTGGGAATTCAAACCCCTTATAAGCAAATGAGAATTGGTATCTGAGACATCAAAACAGTCGCTGCGTAAGCGAATGTTTACGGTTCTCAAGATTAGATAATCATTTCTAGGCATATACGGTTTACGGTCATGGTTTTTGATGTGTATGTACTATTTCTCGCTTTTTAGCGTGACTTTTGGTAAGTTCGATTTGTAAACTACGGCAGTGAAGTCGAATATTGCTTGTCACGGTTGTTTATCGCGCGTTAAAATACATCAGCGCGTCAGGTACGGTAGCGATACAGCACAGTTTTGAACATGATGAGTCAGCTCGTGCGAGAGATTGTGAGTGTTCAGAACATGATAGTTGTCTTGCTTACTGATGTTGTTTGTCACGCTGCTAGGCAGCAGGCTCTATTACAGCCAAATTCTGCAATACGGTAGTCTTCTCGCTTAGTAGTCTCTCAATTCAAGTTAACACGCTCTTAAATACGGCTGCAAGCGAGAGACTAGACTGTTTTGATTACCAATATCTTCTATTAGATCCACTAGCGTTATACATCGCGAGTGTTGAGAGCAAGGCGACAGTCTTGCTTACTGATATTGTTTGTTATACTACTAGGCAGCAGGTCTAAATAGAGATGAATTTGCAATACGGTAGTTTTCTCGCTTATTAATCTCTAAGTTCTGATTAAGCGCGAGTTAGGCAGAGCTTTAAGCGAGACACTAGGCTGTTTTGATTACTAATATCTTGTATACACTCGACGCTAGTCCAGTGTATACAGCCAAGCGAGATTTTGGATCGATTTGCTTATAACCGTAATGTTCAATAGATTTGCGTGGATTAGATGCGGTCAATTTGTCAAATTGTGATGGCAGTCGGTCATACACATTCAATTTCTGCTTGAACGATTCTGACATAAGATTCGTCATTCTTGAAAACGGACTGAAGAGTGGAATTTCACAAATAGCGTATCACTGAGTAGTTTCCTGATGAATTTAGATGGAATTATGCATTCGATATTTTGAAAGTTCAAATTAGTGAACAACTCTTGATTCTAAGTGAATAAGGCAAAATCTATCTTTGCTTCTCGAGATCTTGAACAATTTCGGAAACAAGAAAGCTCCTCAGCAAGGAATTGCTTTGAGACGAAGAGCACCTGGCTGAAACTCTAGATCAGTGACTAATTAGAGTGACCCAGTCTGTCGCGACCTTTTATATGGCCGACGATCTAAAAGCTGAGAGGTGATATGCACTCCGAACCATCATTCCTGAAATTATCTGTGAAAAGCCTGTGCATCTCTAAAAAAGGAAGATATTTCGTCATATCCTAGCTAATTCTGAGGTCACAATTCTTAGTCAATGAGCAAGATAATTCTATGGCTAACCGAGTTTATTTCGCAGTGTTCCTATAGCAGAATAGCCAGGAATATGCACTTTTCACTTATCTCTCATGTTTCTTTACAGGTTCTTGATCTTGTAATCATTCAAACAAATTCTCATTTTTGGCGTCGTAGACGGAGAAGCAAGCATTGGCAGTTTGTAGTTCAATAGGACTAGTTGATATATTCCTTTAGTCTCGATTATCTAGAAGCAATATGAGGCTTTAAGTTGATTGGATGATTCTATGCGAAGTAGATTCAAATTGTATAGAAGTCTATAGTCTGAGAAGATTAGTTGGTATATACGTAGCGTTTTACTTCTCTTGAGGTATTACAATGTCTCGAATTGGAATAATTCATTGATATTTGTCTTTTCTATAAGTGGATATGAATTTATCAGAAAACTAGAATCCAGAAGAATTAAGCGAAGTATGAATTTCGGCTAAATTATTCGGGAAATCAAGTGATCAAAGAGGAATCGTCTGTATGAGCGATGAATACTTACTTTATTCTTTAAGTTCAAATTGAATACTATGATATACTAGTTTGAGAATACTTTAAATTAAGTATGTCTATCTAGGGAATCACGAAATTGTTTTAGGAAATATGATCTGACAAGATGAGATTTAAGCAGATTATTCATCGACGCTTTACGGATTTAGAACTTTATTAGCTAATAATATCGAATATCTTGAGACTTGACTACTAGCGAATATAGAGAATTAATATCCTATAGCTTGAAAGTTCATGAATGAAACTTCATCTTACTAAAAAAGTATGAAGAGAACTAAAAGTACAAGTTTTCAATATCAGACATAAAGTTCTTTACTTTAGCTTCGATTGAGCATCTATTAGATATAATCTGAAGAAATCGACCAGTTGATACTTTGTAATAGTAGTAATCGAACAGTGTTTGAACGATATGGTCTGATAGTAGTAAATCTAATATCTAGTTACATAAATATTTTCGTAAAGCTCTTAAGAACTGTGAGTATTATTCAACTAAATTAGACACTATACATGCCTACATTCTAAAATAAGAAAGCAATTATGTATTCCTTTGGTGCTTCTCATATGAAATTAAAGATAGCTTGAAACTAATGAAAAGAATACATATTAGTATCATCATTAATGTAAAGATGATACAGTTTTAAAATCTAAGCTTTGTGTATTATTTGAACTAAACTGACTAATGACTGTCAGCGGAACTAATACTATGATAGTGTCAATACAACTACGTCATTAATAGTAATATCATATGACGATATCGATAGTAAGAAATACACTTATGTTCCTATGCTTTAAGTGATGTAATAGGGTGTCTAATTCGATCATGAAATGGGGATATAAATTAGTTGGAAGTATAATAGCTGGGAAAGAAGAGAAAGATAAGGGTGAAAATTGGAGCATTAGTATGCATTAGTTCTAAACTATTTATAAGTAAGTGGTGTTGTGAAATCGTTTTTGAACAGCTGGCTAGGTGAAAACGAGTGTCCCACAAGGAGGATGTTGGAATTCTCTTTACTATATACCATAACATAGATCTAATTGCTATACACCTTTATATCCACAAGTTCTAGTAAACAGAAGCTTAAGGGAGGTGGGGATCACCCCCAGTTCTTCAAAAGGTTCCTTACATTTACTTCACAAAAAACAAGTCTGAAGAGAAAATTCAAACTATTTGATACACTATCTACTTGAAAAATTTATAGCTTATATAATATCTATATATAATTGAAGGGAAAAACATGAAAAAACCAAGAAAGATTTTCTTAGAAAAACCTATTAATTTTTATTATATTCGAATCAGAATATTATTCTTTATTTTTTTTCAAAGTTGTTGAATTGATACTTATTTGGGTTGAGGAGATATTGTTGTTGATATTAAGGAGAAGGATTTAATATATTTATATTAGAATTATTAATATTAATATTATTAATAATAAGTTTATTATATTGAATATAATTAATGGAAGAGGTTAAATTATAGATTTCTATAATGATTTAGGTTTTTTAGTACTTGGAGGCCTTATAGGGGGATCTTAATTATAAAGAAGAAGGTTTTTGAGTATAAGAAAATGAAGAATGAAAACTCTTTAAAAAACCTTGCTTTTTTTAAGAAATATTTTATAAAAGATATATTAATATATTTATGATTATTTTATATGATGAAAAGAAAAGCTAGACCTTTTGAAAAACATTTATAATATATCGATTTAGGTATATAGTATTTTATATTAATATATAATATTATTGTGAAATATCGATTTCAATATTATTTTGTATAGTAGATAATATATTACTAATTATAATTAAAGAAGTAGTAACTTTTCAATATAAAATGTATATTATTAAAACAATAGTATCCTAATATTATTATATCTATTATTTTAATCTTATTCAATCATCTAACCCTATAATATAGTCTTATTCTTTATATTAATAGAATAGTTTGATAGGCCCTAATATATTATATTCTATATTAATAAAATAATCTGGCGGGAGGAAAGAGAATGGGAGATATTAGGCTTTAAAAAGAAATTATATATTATTGATGTATTATGGTAGAAGGTGGATATAAGACTTATAAGTAATGGATTAAGGGTTATAGTAAAATTCCCGGAGAATTTGAAGTACTAGAGGGTAAAGACAATTCTTTGAAAGGGATACGATATTATAATTAATTATAGTTTTTATGATATTTTGGGAAGAGTTGAATAGAAAGAGGGGGATTATTGTAATAAAGTAGAAAGTGTAGGGTTTTTATAGGTATATTAGAGGATTTAATAAGGGGAAGGTTTTTGGATATAATAGGTTTATAATATAGGCGATTTGAAGGACTTGAAAGGATTGCTTGGGAGGTTGTTTGTGGATCTTAATAAGAAAGTTCAGGGGGGGGTGAGTTTTTATTTCCTTTTCCCATCTACCTTATTCAATTAGAACCATATATAAGCGTATCGTATAGTCTTAATATAGCTATATAAACCGAATCGATTATGAATTTACTACTACTACTATATAATTGAAACAATCCGTTTGATATGACTCTGATTCCTGACAACTTTACTCCTTTCTCCTGTGCTGCATAGAAGCAGCCGCAAAGTCCTAAATCTCCTCGTCGTCAAAAATCGCAATGGCTTCCTCCAGATCCTCGCCCTTGATCTTCTGTGCTGGCGGCTCATCACTCGCCGATCCAGACACTCTCCGACGCTTCCCACCCTTCTTGGAGCTCTCTGCCACACTTGAAACCCCCGCCCGTTGTAGATATTTGAGATGGGTTGGATCTTTCGTCGGCAAGACATCTTCCAAAACTTCGATGCGGTCGTTCTTGTGGGAACTCTTGAAGTGAGCTTTCAAAGAGAAGGGATCTGGAACTCTTTTCTCACAAAGCGGACACTGATATGGCTTCTCCCCAAACGTCGCATGAGTGGCTGCTTTTGTGAGTTTCTTCTCAGGTGCAACTTCTGGTGGCTTGATGAGCGAAGAACCCAACACACTGACATATTGAGCATCTGTGTGTGTCGACCGGTGCTCGAAGTAGTCTTGGGAGAGTGACGCTTTTGCAATCTCCCTAAGTCTAGCGAATGCTTTCGCTTGATCAGAGTCTCGAGACTGTGCGGAGTTTCCGTCCAAAACCGTTTGTATTCTTGATACGCGAGGTAGAACGATATTCCCATCTTTGTCTTTCCATGCTTCCCGCTTTGCAATAGATTTAGCGGATGGTAATAAAGCCAACGATCCACTGTTGTGACGGTGAGCAAGATTCCAAGCGTCTTGCATTGCGATCTTTTCATGCTGGTGTCTGAGTGTTCCCCAAGCCGTAAGCGCGAAGGCTTCCCCATGAGGAAAGGTGATAGCCAATGGATTATCTTGCTGATAATGATCGGGCATTTTGTACCTCTTCAACGTCGGTGCACGATTCATCAAGTACTTCTGTGGGTAGGCGACGAGGACGAGTCTCGAGTAATTGTATAAGTCTGGGTCCATCCACACCAGATCCGGAATCGGTGCAACGTATGGTTCCCTTGCCGAGTCTCCCATCATCCTTGGTGGAATGCCGAAATGCGGATGTCTTGCTCGGAAGACTAGGGCATCGCACGGTGCGAATACCCAGTAGTCACGAAGTGACATTATGGTAAAGGTCCCGGGCCAGCATCCTTCAACAAGATTAGACAAGTTCAGAAGCACCGACATTCGCGCTGGATCATCCTTCGCGTCGATGTGTAATGACCCAGACTTGCCCATCTCGATGGACAGAGAGACTGTGTTCACATTGGAGTAGTTGACTTGTATGGTCGCTGGAATATGTGTTAGAAATGCAAGTGCTTCAAAACATGAAGTTAGTGGATTAGAACTTACAGAAGTTTCTATTCTCCTCGTTGCCAAACGTGTACGCTACATCGATTTCCGATTGTAGCTCAAGTACTCTGAGTTCCTCCGCAGGAGTGACGTATCGGATAATCGCCTGCGAAACCTTGGCGATCAATTGCGTAGCTTCTGCAAGTTCATCGCAATGCTTGTAGTGGCCTTTCGTTGCGGTTGCAACTCCGCCACTATCTGCATTGGGTGGAATAGACCATCCCACGGTGTAAGTCCGACTCTTTCCTCCCTTTCCAGATCGAAGAATCTGTTCGAACCTATTCTTCTCAGAGTCTTTGCCTTCTCCTCGACGGAGAAGCATCTTTCGCAGCTTCAAGATACCTTCCATGACGAAGCTAGGTAGTTCCTCTTGGATCGTCTTCGAGTCAACCTGCTGAGCTGTCAAAGACTCATTCTCATTCTCGTTGACGAAGACTTTTTGGTTCGGTCGAATTCGATTCATCTGGATTGATCGATCCTCTTCTGCTGTCAGATACCCAATAGCATCATGTATCAGGTCCGGAACTTCTGAATTTCTAGCTCTTGCCAGCCATGATTTGTCTGTGAAGTTTGGCATGTGGTAAACATGGCCATCTTCTCTTTGTTTTGGAGGGGAATAATTAAATTCAACAGGTGAAGACATATTATGATACTGTTGTCACTTTGTCTGATGTTGTAAAGGTAAATTGTTTAGAAGATTTGATAATTGGAATTGTGAAAGAGAAGGAATTCGAGAACTTTGTAGATTGAGAAGAGACTCTCTTCAATTGTATTGCCGAATACCGGCTTATTTTGTTCTATGAACCAAGTATATTCACTTTCTGAAACTTAGATAATTTAAACATGTGTTCCGAGGTCGCAATCTATTCACTAATTACAACTTAACAGCTTGTAAAGTTGATTCCCCATACAGCTCGGCTATACTCGACCGGTTTATTCCTTGTTTATTGTAGTCATTACTTCAGGTATTTATATAAAAAAAGTGAATTATATCATTGATTCAAGAAATCTGATAAAGAAGTGATTTTTGTACACCAGGAAATCCCACAAAAAGGAGCTGCTGTATTGCAGGTTTATATACCTGAGTCGGTCTTCTCTTACTTTGTTTGGTTCTGTCATCTGATCAGGTACATGATATGAGATGTCCATGTTCTGATACGACTTCAAAAACTAGGTCCAAATGAACATTTAAGAGCAAACCAGCTGTCCAGTATGTAGAAACAATCCATCTTGAAATCAACGTGTTGAGATGATCAAAAGAACAAAGACCTTACAGCTGAGGTACTGATATAGTACAAACTTTATGTAGAAGTTGTTACTCAGTTCCACCCATACCACCATCTAATTTCCCTCTTTGGTAGTAATGTTGTTTCCATCTAAGTCAAAAGAAAACTTCCAGCCAAGGGCACCATACATTTCCATACTTCATGAATGCCCACATGACGTTACTTGCTAGCATATCACTAGAAATCATCAAGACACAACAATCCTTTTCCTCCCAAACAGATATAAATCACGCAAACAACCACAAGTCAAAATCAATCTGATACCATCGAGGGTACTTTGCATAAATTAATGTTGCTATAGCACACTTACTATTTCGCAACCCCTCTATAGTCCAGCTAGTAAGATTATCAAACTAAAAAGAGATAGTCATGTTTCCAAAGCGTACATGGCTTTAGACGTTTGGCATAGCACATCTGATATTCCTTCATCACCCATCCATCTTAACCAACTCACCAAATTTTTTCTAGTTCTCCACTCACCTCTTTTTCCTGAGAATGATTTATCCACCATATCATACCCCCCCTCTCAACTCCACGAAATAGTTCTATCCATCCCATCAATCTCATCTCATCCTATGCCCCCCCCCCTCTCTCTAAAATTCATTCATAAATCAATAACCTCATACACACTCCTCCGCATTCTCCATTCCCACTTCCCAACCTCAGTCCCCCAGCTCAATCCCCCTTCCCACTCCATTCCATCAACAAACAACCTTTTATGCTCTCTATACTACAACAAAACACAACACAACACAATATCCCATCCTACATGCCATTCCCCAACATCTCCAAACTAAGCCCTGCTCTGCGTGTACATACCCGAACAAACAAACGAACAACCCACAATCTATCCACCACTTCAAATCTCAACTCCATACTCACCACATCATCACCCATCCCTCCCCCTCTCCCCTCTCCCCTCGCTTCTCCATAACCACTCTTTCACCACCATTTTCAACTTTTCACCTTCATCCCACCCCCTGTTTTCCTCTTTCGTTCTTCCCTTCTTCCTACAATCTCAATCTCAAGCTCCAGACTATCAACTGCACTACAGTTCACCTTACCTCATTTACTCAGTGCCCCACCCCCTCATCCCCTCAAACTCTCAAACCCTCAAAACCAACAGCACGAAACACTATCCTTCCATCCACAACCAAGAACCACACCAGGAAAACATCTTTACATAGCAAATTGCATACCCACTTCCTCATCACCGCCATAATATTTGTCTGCGCCCATTAGCTTTGGCTTTCAAACTAAAGTCCTATACACCCATGCGCACTCTTCAAACACAACCTAGCCCTCACACCAACATCCCACACACAAAGACTTCACACACAAATCTCAAGAAAACCGCAGGGTTTACCATATTTTAATGTGTTTTTCTCAATTTTGCCTTTCGTTTTTCATGAAATCTACAAACAAACCAACACTCTCACCGAGCTGCCCCGATATAACGAGAGTGCCCATTCCTAATCTATGTGTATACTCAGTATGCGTAATTACAAGGCCCGCCTCCACCCTTTTCCCGTCCCTCATTTTCGCAATCAGTCTCGCATCTCCCCAAACAATCCGTTCCATCCTATCCATGTACCCACGTTCCCCAAACCAAATACCAATGTCATAAAAGTAATGCGTGCACCAAACGTTTCCTTCCTTCCCCAGATCATTCATTCGATCCAGCGGCAATCAAACCAATATATTCATTTTACTACTGATTTGCCGAATTGCGAAACAAGAACCAAACAACCAACCACCCACCCATCCAGCCAGTCATCCACTGACTCATTGATGATACGAAAAAGCAAAGATCAATTAACAAATAACTAGAAGCAACGCAATAAATTCACATCCAGAAGCAATGCGTGTATCAAAGCACCCACCCCACCACAAACGGGTGGTTGCTGATTACGTTGAGAAGGGACCTTGATTTTTTGAAAGATCGCTCCCTCCTCACCCAAAATTTTCATCGAGAGGAGAGGTGTCATGGGTTGAGGTTGTACAATGTACCGCTGAGGATTTAGAACCCTGTAACTACTCGTCTAAGGCTCGGTATCTTGTTGCTCGCGCTTTTTGGTGCTCTCTAACCAGCGTCGCTTGCCGGAACGAGTATCGAAATGGGGAATGGCAGTGACATCCCTTCCTGCATTACCAATGTTTTCCTTGACTTTGTTGCGCCATGCATCAACTATTATAATTAATTAGTATCGATTCCTCCACAGACATATGTAAAGGACAAGTATATGACTCACGAGCTTTTTGTAAGAAAACCGACCTGTTCGCGAAGGTTCTGCTTTGATGCCAAGTCATTCTGTAACCTAAATCATTAAGCTTGACCTCCAATGCTCTCTGAGACTTGCGCATTCTTGGAATAGGAATTTCGGCCTCTTCACCATTGGGCAAATGAACAGGAAACATTTTTCTGCCACGTCGAGAACGACCTCGACCATCAACTTCATCATCGCTATCATCATCTTGAAAGAAGTCGCTGCCGTTGGCCAATGGAGGAGGTGATTGCATTTGTAGAGGGAACCAAGATCGTGAATAGACGGAGTTAATCTTTCGGTATGAATCTGGAATTTCATTGATATCGACCGTATCCAAAGTAACGCGGACACGAACACGACTTTGCTTAACGGGATCCTCAACCAAGATGAACTTGCGCTTCTTTGCTTCTGGAACATTACCGAAAACATCGACGCCATCTTCATCATCTTTTGATTGTGCGGCAATGGGGTGGGACCCGCGGGGTAAAGGACGTGCATCGTGAGCACCAGGAACCATGGAAGCTCCGCCTACTGAACTCGAAGGGTAGTTATTGTTGAAACCAGGGAAGGCTTGGTTTTGTCGGACATCGTCTCCCGAATTAGCAGATTGCCCAACTGGAGCTTGATGGTGGTGGTGAGTGTTCTCATCCATATATTCGTCGTCACCTACACATGGGTTTATTGATTAGCCTCTCAGGTTTATCCGGGAAGCAAGGCAATAACAATACAAAGCAAGCAATGTGGAGCAATACAATAATATACAAAGACATAACGCGGGGTAATGGGTAGGTATCGCAGAAGGCAGAAAGCAAAGTGCAATGTTGTATTATACATGAAAGTGCTTTTGTGACTAGTCACTTTAAGGTCCCAAATTTCCCCCAATCAATAGGTATATTCGCAAGAATGGTATCATAACAAAATAATAATAATCGCACATCACATCTGGTGAAACATACCGACTTCTTCTCCTCCTTGGTTACTTCCATCAGGATGGGCGTGGTGGTGATGAAGCTGGGGACCACCCATACCGCTAAGGTTAGGTTTGCCCATGCTTCCCGCACCACCAGGGCCCATGTTCGCAGAAGGTGGCATCCCTGTAGGACTTGGACCAGTCATGTGAGGATTATGACTTGTAGCCGCTTGAACCGCTTTACGGTTGTTGATTTTGGCCATTCTTCGAACTCGACGACTTCTCAATCTTGGATCTTGGTTACTGTTTCTCCAACTATCGACCGCCCTTTGTATTAATCCACGTTTGCCACGTAGGCAAGGATTCAATTCTGCCAAGGCCCACCCGACAGTGTTGCACTCCGTTTCGTATACCAATCGATTTCCCCTGTATTGATCCTTGCTGCAGCACGCCCTCGGGTAAACACAATTCTCCGTTTTAAATTCCGGGCCAAGGTTTTCAACGTTTATAGACTCGACATCACATCTGATTGTATATTCCATCTTAACACGATCGCGCGAATATTCAAATGCAATCCATTGAACTCCATTATTATCCTGTCGCACAACGAGCGGGGTAGTGGCTGGAATAGGGCCCGGTGCGGCATTGGGATTGACACCGCTGCCACCGCTTCCAGGCGGATTGTTGGGCTGCATTTGAGGTGTACCGTTCGCAGAGTGCTGAGCCCCTAAAGGTGGATTTGGTCTAGCAATCTGTGGAACGTGTGGCTCCATCTTTGTTCGCGGACTTCCAGTCATACCAGGTTGTTGATGTTGATTAGGATGTGGTTGCATCTGGTGCTGATTTGTCTGGTGTGACATGAGCAGTGTTGGTTGTGAAGTCATGGATTGCTGATGATGATGCTGTTGCTGCTGCGGGGGTGGTGGTGGTTGCGCATACGGAGAGGGTCCCCCAGGAGCCATAGGGGGGGGGTATTGCTGCTGAGGTGGCCCTGGATAATACATCTGCTGACTTTGCTGCAATTGTGAAGATGACGCATACATCCTGTTCTCATGTGCAGGCGATGCAACAGAGGCTGGGGAGTTGGATTGAGGGGTTTGGTAAATTGGTGGATATGGAGCACGAGTCATATGTTGAGTGGCCGCCATGATGTCTGGAGTTTCTGGACCTATGTGCAAAT